TAAAAGAATTAAAAAAAACAAACAAAAAAAACCCAACCTTTAAAAACTGTGAAACACAATTCAAAAATGGGTTACTCATTCTAGTCCTCTCTCCACTCTCTCCTAAAATCATGAGAAAGTCCCCTGAGAGGGGCTGGATGGTGTGGGTGGGCCGTGGGCGGTCAGGGTCAGGGTCAGTATGGCTAGTGTGGGGAGAGAAGGGCATATTCATGAAGGAAACCTGAGCAACAACACACGAGGAGGAGAGAGAAATCAGGTTAACTTTGGTTTTGCATTTTCCCTTGATCTCTGATCTGTGCAAAGGAGCTCTCTGTGGGGTTCCTGTTAGGATCCACAGGAAATTCCTGCTACACAGCCTGTTGGGTAGCAAAATTAGCACATGGATAGGACATGAGCTGGTGCAGAGAGAGGCCAGGCTGCAATGCCCAAAGGGTAGGCAAGGGGGAAGCCTGTGTGTGCAGGCCAAAGCCTGGGCAAAGTCGGTCCCTTGGAACTTTAAAAAAAACCCAAATAAACCGGTTCGGTGATATTGAGAATAGGCTTGAGCAGTTGAGAGGAAGCACCTTGCCTTATTTAAGCAGAAGCTGCAAAGGTTTAAAAAGCTTAACGTTCTGAGTGCTGAATACATTAGTGGGGATGACAGCAAGGCCTACGTTAGCTGTTAACTTGGTCACAGAAAAATCACCTCTTGATAGAAATTGCAGATGAAAATATGGGAAAAATAATCTGGAAATATGAGAACAGAGAACCTTTTTTCTTTCATTTTCATCTCAGGGAGGGAAAAGGCCTTGCACACTGAGGCCTCCAACTACCCCACGAGCAAGCTAGTGAAGGCAGCTGTCTGCAGGGAGTGAACGTAGCCAGAGGGCTCTCCTGGGACCTCGGGCAAGCAGGCCCCTGGCTGAGCACACGGGCACACCACGGGGGATTTTGCTGTTTGATATTCAAGAGCTCAGAGAAAGCACTAACGTTGTCATTTTGGATAGCGCTGCTATTTCGTTGGACATTCCAACAAATGTGGCTGTGTTTTGCTTTTATTCTGAGCCATACAGAGGGAGAGGCGCCTAATTCTTTCCGGTCAAAGGCTTTAATCAGGCCTGTCTAGCACCAAATTCCTGTCTGGTTAGTGGGGCCACTAAATGTCAGAAAAAAGTGGAAATAAGTTTGCAGTTTGAGCCTAAAAGACCTATCTGATTACACCGAACTAAAAGCCCGTTGAGACAAAAAACGATGGATCTAGTTCTTTAACCCTTACTTGTTCGATATCTTCATTGTGAAGATATCGGTAATTGGGCTTTTAGAATCTATCTCGCTTTTGTTATTTTATTTTGTTCGGTTATGAATATTTTTTATGAATATTCTTTGTGATGAAAACCTTTAAGATCTACCCTCTTAAGCAAGTTTCAAATATAAAAATACGGAATGATGAACTAATCTGCATGTTATCAGGGCCACACTAATCTTCTCTGTATTGTTCCAATTTTAGTATATGTTCTCTGGGCGCCAGCACTATACCATGTGTTTTTTGGGTTTTTTAAGAAAATGCTTTCTTATGATTTAAAAATGTTTATACACGAATTTCTGCTCTTAGTTTTATCATTTAAAAAAATATCATTTGGTATTAGTTTCAAGTATACAGCATAGTGGTTAGACAATCCTATACTCTTTTTTAAAAATTATATTTTATTGATTTCAGAGAGGAGGAGAGAGGGAGAGAGAGGTAGAAACATCAACGATGAGAGAGAATCACTGACTGGCTGCCTCCTGCACACCACACACTGGGGATCGAGCCCACAACCTGGGCATGTGCCCCAACCAGGAATCAAACTGTGACCTCCTGGTTCATAGGTCGATGCTCAACCGCTAAGCCAGGCCGGCCGGGCAATCCTATATTAAACACAGTGTTCTCCCCAATAAGTCTAGTACCCACCTGGCACCATACATAGTTATTAAAATATTATTGATTATATTCCCTGTGCTTTGAGTATTTTGTAACTCTCAATATACTTCTTAATCCTTCACCTTTTCCACTCAGCCCCCTAAATCCCCTCTCCTCTGGTAACCATCAGTCTGTTTCAATTTTGTTTATTTTATTCGTTAGATTCCAAATATAAGTGAAATTGTATGGTATTTGTTTTTCTCTGACTGACTTATTTTCCTTAGCATAGTACCCTCTAGGCCAGTGATGGCGAACCTTTTGAGCTCGGCGTGTCAGCATTTTGAAAAACCCTAACTTAACTCTGGTGCCGTGTCACATACAGAAATTTTTTGATATTTGCAACCATAGTAAAACAAAGATTTATATTTCTGATATTTATTTTATATATTTAAATGCCATTTAACAAAGAAAAATCAAGCAAAAAAGTGAGTTCATGTGTCACCTCTGACACGCATGTCATAGGTTCACCATCACTGCTCTAGGTCCATCCATGCTGTCACACGCGGTAAGACTTCATTCTTTTTTTAGGGCCAGGTAACATTCCATTATCTATATGTACCACCACATTTTCTTTTTTTTTCATAAAAAAGGACCACATTTTCTTAAACCACAATGTTTTTATCCAGTCATCCATTAATGGGCACTTGGGTTGCTTTCATATCTTGGCTATTGACGATTATGTGCAATTTAAGACACAAATACAGCGCTGGCTGTGGGAGTCTCCTTTCTGCTCTGTTACCACACCCGAATGTCTGACCTTTACAGTCGTGCATGAACTTAGAGAACCCCACTCTCCTGAGCAGATCACAATTGTCCCACAGAACTCAAACCTTAGCTGGTGGAGTTCCCGTCCTGGCAATGCCACCACTCCCAACCTTCCACACTTCAAAGTGTGCCAGGATTCCAACGTGGGGAAGAAATCCCGGTTTCCCTGTCCTCTCATAGAGTGTGTGGTTAATGCCACCAATGCCCCCCACTTGGCACTTCTTCCTTGCCACTCCCTGGATAGCGGACAAATTGCTCCTGGGAAATGAAACTCACAAACACGCTGGAGACCCCTGATGCCTTACCCGCTTACCCGATGCAGCCACTAGATCTGTGGGCATGGAATGAAAAAAAAAAAGGTGACTAATGAAATCTGGCGCCTCTGGGAGTGTCTGGTACACCCAGCCTATTCTGCTGGCCAGCAGGGCAGCAGTCAGAGAGATGCCTCCTGACAGCTGCAGGGACTTTCACGTGACTTCGCCCCACCCCCTCCCGCCTCCAGCCTTAAGAGAGCCCTTGATGACTCGCTCTTTTCACAGGGAGTGGAGTCTCCAACTCTGCTTAGGGCTCAGCACCTCTCCCGTTTATCGCCTGCTGCCCCCTTCACCTGCTTGTTACCTTTCCTTGAGGTGAGCCTTCTTCCTAGTTGGGATGCTGGCTGTCCACCCTCTAGCCTACTGCTCAGAGGTGAGGCGGAAGACAAAACTCCCATTTCCCCCCAAAATATACCCCCCTCGCCAATCATTCTCTTCCTTTCCTGGGTTCTGTACCTGATACTTGTTGGTAGAATTAAAGGGGATCTCTGCCACCTTGGGGCTTCTCTCTCTCATCTCCTTCACGGAGCAGTAGGACTGCTCGATGAACTTGAGGAGGGCTGACTCAGAAGCGTCCCCTGCTGTTGTCCGCTGTCAGAAGGGGGTTTCTATATAAGCCCCGGGGACAAGGAGAGGGGCCAGGGGGAGGGGGTGCCTGGGGAAGTCACTGAGCGCCAGGAAAGAGATCTTTTGGGGGCAGAGGGTGGGTTATACCCTGGACACTAAGGTACCCTCCACCCCCTTGGGCCTGACACCTTAGCTATCGGAATGTCCTCCTGATTAGCCTTAAACTCAGCCCGGTTGCAGAGGCCAGCGATTCGGGCCAGGATAGGCCAGGTATCGGAGCTCTTGTCAAATGTATGCGCTGGGGAGAAAGAGCAGACGTGAGCAAGGGAGAGGGGAGCTTAAAGCAGGGAGTTATTTCCATCCTGTCTGTACCCCACAACTTCACAGAGACATCTTCCATCCACACCTTCCTTCTCTCACTCGCCTTCCAGCTGTCTTCTCTTTGTCTGAACTCACCATTCCCTCTCAGCTCACTCATCACAATCCCCCAAACCCTTTCACTCTTGGCCCACCGATGCCACTAGTCACCAAGGCGTTCTTCACTCGTGTCGGACTCATAGATGGTCTTATCGAACCACAAGTGGGCGACGGTCATACGGTTCTGGGTGAGGGTGCCCGTCTTGTCAGAGCAGATGGTGGAGGTGGAGCCCAGCGTCTCCACCGCCTCCAGGTTCTTCACCAGGCAGTTCTTCTTCGCCATGCGCTGGGCTGTCAGGGTCAGACACACCTAAGGCCACGAAAAGTCAAGAGAATAAGTGGAGAGAAGATATTGGCTACTCACACCACCTCGTGTTTTGGAAATCTGATTTGTTTTTGGCTAATTTAATTTTTTGTACTAATTTCCCTTAATTTCCTATCTAGTTAAAAAAAACAAAAACCCTCCATCTATGGCTACAGGAAAGGAAATGAGGAAAGTGATTTTGGTTTGGGCTTCAAGGCAGAGTTTTAAAACCAGAGTGTATTCCTTTACCAGGCATTCTAGAGAATGATGATCTGATTTTCCCTGATATATTCCACTCTCCCATGGTCCTTTCATCTTTTTTATCCAGCAGCCTCTTTTTCATTCAAGTTCAGACCACACCTCTTTTTCAAGTTCAATCTTTCAAAGGCCCACATTGGCTAATCTTTTATTGTGGAATAAGATGCTATGTATGGAATGTGTGTGTATGGATGTACCAATTTATTTAAAAAAAACAATGGAAAAATGATGAAATTGAGAAATATTGCAGCACTAAAAATAATTTTGTTGTTAATCTTCACCTGATATTTTTTCCATTGAATTTTAGAGCTCCCCTCCACCAGGTTCCCACTCCACCCTCTGCTCTTACCCCCACCCCCACTGTCCTCATCCACAGGTGTACAATTTTTGTCCAGTCTCTTCCCACATCCCCCACACCCCTTTCCTCCCCCAGAATAGTCAGTCCTCTCCCTTTCTATGTCCCTGATTCTATTATAATCACCAGTTTATTCTGTTCATTAGATTATTTATTCACTTGATTATACAATAATATTTATAGCTGTGTAAGTGTTAAATAATCCCCACCCATCAATGGCTGATGATCCTGCCAGTTTTTGGATTTTTTGAAGTATCCATCATCAATAACAGAAAACACATCC